AGTGTTTAGTTTTATTAACACTGTACAGTGTTAAGTTTTATTAACACTGTACAGTGTTAAGTTTTATTAACACTGTACAGTGTTAGTCAGTGTTAATTTTTAAYTCTGTTCAGAGTWAAATTGACACCAGTTCAGATAAGGACCAAATAGACTCGGACACAGTGTTAATTTAACTCTAAGTGTTGAGTTATCACTGCAGTGGACCGTGAAGTCCTCTGTAGACCAAAGGGTTCTAGCTGGACCAAACTGGGTCCAACAGAACCCTGGTCCAGAACACGGTGGTTTGACTTGCTTCATCTGTACAGAAGCTGACAGATGAAGTCATGGTTCTGTGGGTGTCTGTCGGATCAAAGCTGGACTGGTTCTGGCTCTGGTTCTGGTTCTGGTTCTGGTTCTGGTTCTGGTTCTGGTTCTGGATCAGGATTTCACTCTCCGACTCTCAGCAGAACGAACAAACGTCAGAAAACAGAAAGCGAGCGGCTGATCTGTGTGTGGGAGGAAGATTTGCTTCTGAGGAAAAGAAATGTGCCCACTCTGTCTCTGGATGCTTTTACCTCTGCTCCTCCTCCTCCTCCTCCTCCTCCTCCTCGTCTCCTTCGACCTGTCAGAACTCCTCTTTTATCTCTATCTGTGCAGCCGCTTGGGTTTCATCCTCAGGAACATACATGTTGTGTTTGACACGTGAGAGCACCTGTTCACATAGCAACCAGCTCTACTGAAGAGAGGAAGAGGAGGGAGGAGAGGAAGAGGAGAGGAAGAGGAGGGGGGAGAGGAAGAGGAGGGAAGAGAGGAAGAGGAGCGAGGAGAGGAAGAGGAGGGAGGAAGAGGAGGGGGGAGAGGAAGAGGAGGGAAGAGAGGAAGAGGAGCGAGGAGAGGAAGAGGAGGGAGGAAGAGGAGGGGGGAGAGGAAGAGGAGGGAAGAGAGGAAGAGGAGCGAGGAGAGGAAGAGGAGGGAGGAAGAGGAGGGAGGAGAGGAAGAGGAGGGAGGAGAGGAAGAGGAGGGAGGAAGAGGAGGGGGGAGAGGAAGAGGAGGGAAGAGAGGAAGAGGGGCGAGGAGAGGAAGAGGAGGGAGGAAGAGGAGGGAGGAGAGGAAGAGGAGGGAGGAGAGGAAGAGGAGGGAGGAAGAGGAGGGGGGAGAGGAAGAGGAGGGAAGAGAGGAAGAGGGGCGAGGAGAGGAAGAGGAGGGAGGAAGAGGAGGGAGGAGAGGAAGAGGAGGGAGGAGAGGAAGAGGAGGGAGGAAGAGGAGGGGGGAGAGGAAGAGGAGGGAAGAGAGGAAGAGGGGCGAGGAGAGGAAGAGGAGGGAGGAAGAGGAGGGAGGAGAGGAAGAGGAGGGAGGAGAGGAAGAGGAGGGAGGAAGAGGAGGGAGGAGAGGAAGAGCAGGGAGGAGAGGAAGAGCAGGGAGGAGAGGAAGAGGAG